GAGATAAATTTAGGTCATTGATCCTCAAGAAAATGTCTGCTAAATAAGCTAGCCTCTGGAGCCAGACATTATTTTCCATACAGCTGATGAAATGGATAGGGTGGCTGTTGAAAAAAAAAAACTAAGCTCTAAGCTCCAACAAGCATACAAGGAGTGTGACCTGTGAAAACCATCTAACTTCAGTATGGACTAAAAGAGAATTGTGTACACCACCCATTTCTTCACAAAGTGCCTGAAATATTCTGGAATTTGTTGGCCATGATTTTATGAAATTCACTATTTTCACTGCATTGTCCAGCACTTCCTTCAATCCTCAGGCATGTGTTTTGGTGCAAGATCTTGTTTAGGGATACTGCAATGAGACATTTGATGTAACATTTTTTGTTCAAGCTACAAATCTGATATACTTCCCTGTCATTGATATGGTTTCATCAGCGCAGATGCCTAGGCAACGAGACCAATATATTTCAGTTTCTTGAAAATATGCATTAGTTAGATTGAAGACATCTCTCCAGTTGTACGTTGTTTCAATGGAGGGCAAAACAAGTCTTATTCAACTTTACTTTCATTCACATAATGTACAAACACTAGCAAAATAGATAGATTAGCAACATCAGTTGATTCTTCCAACTGTATAGCATAATGTGGACTATTTTTCACTTTGTACAGTTGTGGTCTCTAAGTTACTTGACATGTCATTAATTCTCCACGATAATGTATTATTTGACAAAGGTACCATGTCAATCTTTTTTACAGCCTTTTCTCTGAACTTGGACTGAACTACGTCTTTTATGTATGGGCCAATCAAGCTCTTTGCTATGGTATGGGTTTCTAAAGCTTTTGCTACTTGGTAGCTCACTCAATACAACTCATCAAGTTCATTTTCATTCACAGTATTTACTTTGAGTACAAAGCTGATAATGTCACTTTTCCACTCGACTAATTTTCAACAGTTGTGTGGGGAGTCTAGTTTCTAAGTAACGCTGAAGTAAAGAAGGTTTGAGACAAGGCTGCTGTTTGCTAGAACATCACAAATTACACACCATGGTTTTGGACACTCTTGATCACCAATGCATGTAAAGCCATATTTTATATTATGGTCATTACATTTTCTTTTCTTAATAAGCAACTTTCCTTGACCGTCTTGATAATTTGACGTAGATTTTTCACACTTTGGACCTGATGAAATACTAGCTGATGTTGACTGTTAATTTTCTTGTGTTTTTATACTTCTGATTTTCAGCCACTTGTCCATTATTGGATGTAAAACTGTTAAAATAAAAATATCACACTGAGAATATTAACAAGTGAACAAACTTGTAAATGAAAACATTCACTTGCATCTCACCGGAGTGAAACAGCACACCACTGAGAGGGACTGAGTACTGACTAACTGAATGATTGCACTTCTGCTCAAGTTGCTACAATGACATTGGCTTTGGTCCTCATCAAAATAGTTGTCTGATGTGTCAGTGTTACTTTTATTAGGCTTGCATTTCTCTAATTATGTTTATTTAATTATTTATTTATGTATATGTCAAATTACACAGATCGCAATAACATGTACCACAGGATATAATTCAGTACTCCTTCATCAGAAGATGTTTCTACTGTAAAGATATCAATATTTAATTTGAGCATAAAAGGGGGATAATCCCAGTGACAAAATACTACATTAAATTGTAATATCAAAAACTACCGATCTTATTCAAAGCCACCTACAGTTATCACTTGAACTGTGTAATCTTGTCAGATTTTTAGTCTGTGTGTGTGTGTGGATAAAGAAAGAGAAGCATGCACTATTTTTTTTTTTTCTCAGAGAATGGTTTGATAAATAAATTTTTATATTTTCTAAATGATTTTTTATGGTTCTGTAGAGTCATTGAATTTTTGAGCACGTCTTTCAAAATTCAAAACCTCCATTGTGATTATATACTTTACTTCACCTCATTCAACATTCTCACAATAGTCTTGACATCAGAACATGATTTTCTTCTGTCTTTAGTGTGCCAATACAATTTATTTCTCACACAACAGTTTTTGGCATCAGAATTGTGTCGGCATGTTTATAGTCTGTAAAGATGTGTGGAGATTCTTCATGGAATGATGCTTACGTCATAAGCCATGACCATCAACATCTTAGTCTGTAGACAAAAGGAGATTTTTTTTCATAGAACAGTCTTGTAATTGGAACCAGGATCATCAGCATTTTTAGTTGTTAAAGATGGGAGGAAATTTTGCACAGGCTTTTTATTTGTTTCCTTTTTTATGGTTGTAAAAGTTCTTTTGTTTTCAACAAGACTGTTCAGGAATATCTTTCATTGTTTATTATCCATAGCTCACTTCTACATTTTCATTCTTAATTTTCCTACTGTTTACATTTACCAATCTGGAACTAAAGCTTCCGAGACCTTTTGCAATATGCACCTCTCTTCTCATAATTAGGCTTATTTTCATATGCTTGGTATCCTAAAATATAATATTTTTTTATCATTTCTTGTGTCATAGAAACAACTATAGACTATTTCTTCCTCATTGTATTTAGATTTATATGTTTGTGGACCAAAAGAAATAATGACACATAGGTGAGATGCTTAGAGCAATTATCATCTGATTTGACAACAGTTTTAGTTACTTTTCATTTTCAAAAAATGCATTATGAACAGGAAGAAATTAGTCAAATAAATTTTTGTGATAGTGAAAGAGTTAATGCTACATAAGTTTTCATTTTCTCAATTCCTACTTTGTTGTTTAACCAATATGTTATATTTTATAACTTTTCTAAACTATGTAACAAAACTCAATGTAACTGCCCAGTATACAGAATAATAATTTGCACATTATTCCTTCTTTGCAAAATTACCATTTTCCTTGTACTTCCATGTTTGAAACTATAAAACAGAATTTGATCAGAAGTGAACAGACTTTGCCTGTTTTATATGAAAAGGTGCTTTGAAATAGAAAGTGTTACAATGTCTTATTTGGATCCAACTCAACACAACCACTTTCATCAAAGTGAAATATTCTGTCTCTCATTTGCAGAAATCATCTAATACCTCAGTGCAGCAAACAACCTTGAATCAAATGGTTTCTTAACAGAAGACTGTATTTTTCAGTTGCAGTGATATATTAGCTACATAAATGGCCTTTCATGGAAGTGTCAACCTGTCATTTATTTGGTCTTAGTTCTTAAGTACAACACATGTTCAAGGATGTTTGACTGACAGGAGATCATCTAATTCGTGTTTCTCCCATCCCTACTTGAATATAAATCTTATGGAACTAATGTCAGTTTTTAGATCATTCTGACCATTTATTTAATTGCAACATATCCACCAAAAGAGTTTCAGTATAATTGTGTATATCTAATCATATTATCTCCTGTGCATGACTTTGATAGCAATATGTATAACTACTATTTCATGTAATTCATTTAGTATTTAAATTACTTCTTACAACTGAATATACTGAATATTTTAAAAACACGTGATATGAAGCAGTCTGTTATATCATTCTCTGTACCAGTGTTTTCAGCTTCAGTTATTGTTAGTACTTTTGCATTTTCATATGATATTTAAGTGGTTCACCCCTTCCATTCCAATTTGGTTTTATATTATGACATACTATTTGTTCTTTTTGTCATCTGGATATGTTCCCAAAGATAAGTTCCTCATCTGTCGTAATATAGTATGACTTTCATCTACATGTATTTCCTGCTGTTTTACTAATAAAAGAGTAAAGTGAGATTCACTGTCATTGATGTAAATCTCTCCTTTCCTTTAGCCACTGTTCCAGCTCTTCATAGTTTGTGATGTTATGAAGTTGAACATAATTATTATGGGGCTATGACATTAACTTTTGGTCATTTGTTTGCAGTAACTTAAGACTAATTCATTCTGTGTGTTTATTTTGTATAATTGGTTTACTACCCTGTTAATTTTCCCAGTTGTATTCTTTTGATGTGAATTTTAATTAAAATATTTTGCATATCTGGTCTTTCACTGCAACTTCATCAAGGCTAGTACAATAGTGAAACATTGGTTGAAAAAAAGTTTTTTTATTATTATCTTGAGAATAACTTTTTTCTTCTTTATCGTCAAAATGTCTAAACCCCTAGAGTATGCAATACAGATTCTGAAAACATACATAATACAAGCACAGACAAAGCCCTTGTGCTGGCTGGCTGTTCTGCCTCTGGACAGTAATTCAAAATTAGGGATCTCTGAACTGACTGTTCTCTGAAGTGCCATAATATATCATTACCTCATCAAAACAACATAGCATAAACCATTGTTATGTATAAAGTCACCTTAATTTTAATGTGAAATTTCTAATTAACTGTTAATTCAAAAATAATATGGAATAAATTATAATTTGTTTTATTTTACTAGATCTGTATGCTAAACAATTTGAAACCATTTAGCCTACGTGCTGTTAAAGTTAAGAATACCAAAACTAAATATTCAGGCTAAACACTTTACACGTGGTACTATGGTGTGCATAAGTGATGACTGGTGACACATCTTTGCATTAGCAGATGCAGGTCTTTCTTTTAAGGTGTGATTAACACTTTGTATGTTGAAATAAGAATCATGTTTGTCATCATTTGAATTGAACAATATTTATTGTATATAAAATAAGTGACTGTTATTGACAAGAAAATGATTGATGAAATGACAATTCCTACAATCACAAAAGTAAAATACTGGTAGATCATTTGAAATGTGTATACCTAAATTAATAAACTAGCCTACTATGTTTCATGTATTATTCCAATAATAGCTGTTAAGAATTTAGCAAAGGTTTAATTCATATCATTTTGAATGAAGCTAGTGATAGCTGATCTTTACATCTGAAACAGTTGAAAAATGACAATATTGTTTTCATTGGGTGGTGATGGCAGTTCATTATTATTATTATTATAAGAAGCATGTCTTTTGTCTTCTCTTCCAATTAAAAAGTGAATATAATGTTTTGAAATTTTGATATTTTCTTCACAGTCATGAAACAAAGACCTCATCATTATTGCCTCCAGTGGAGTCCTGGGATTCAGGAAAATTTTTCCTGCCATATGGATGGGAAACAGCTGTTGATGAGGGTGGAAAGACCTACTTCATCAAGTATGTTTTGGTTACTCTTTTATCTTTGTTTTTATTTCAAGTAACAAGAGAAGTTTAACTATCTGAAAATAAAATAAAATTACATGTATGTATTTAACGATTTATGTTAAAAGTTACATGCAAAAATGCAAGTACATTGTATTCATTTAAATATTTGAGGTTGCATACAAGAATGAAAAACAGTGTATTACTTTTACAATTCATTTACAATGTTTCATGCAAGAGTAAATATACAATGTGTTAACTTAATCTGTTTAGAATATTTCATACATATTTAATGGTTAGATTAAGAATGTTGCATGCAAGACTGAAAATATATGTTGTAATTTGACAATTGTAGGATTGAAGATATAACATGTATTGTCCTATAAATTGATAGTTGATTTTGAAAGTTGTATCCAAAAGTGAATTATTATACTTGTAAGAGATTTTTTATAGAAAGAGTAACTCATTTTTACATTTTTAATCCTCAATTACAATAGTACATTTGTTTTTCTAAACAGCCATGTTAACAAGACCACAACATATGTAGACCCCCGCAAAAGAGTAGGTGAGGATCCCCCTCCTGAACCTCGTGATTTGGAACTCTTTCGGGATGCTCATTTAGGGTTTGGCTTTGTAGCAGGAAGCGAAAAGCCTGTAATTGTCCGGTTTGTTTCAGAAGGTAGGATGAAGTGATTAAATAGTGCAAGAAGAATGTTACATTGTTGAACTGTTATATAGTAACATTATGTGAATGAAATACTTGTATCACCAATGTTTGTAACAATAAACTAGCTTAACTCACATTGGATAACAAATCTTGAATCATAACCAGTTTAGAGTTACAATTTGGAGTTACAAGCACCAGAAAGTACTTGCATTAGTTGTGACCTGCTGCTCAAATGATGTTTTTGTAATAAAATGAGGCTTTGGATAGATGTTTGTAAGAATAAAACAAGTTGTTACTATAGTCTGCATACTTTATGAATAAAAAGGCAAATCTTACACATCAAGGAACATGTTTCTACACTGTTAAATTATGACAGGTTAAGTTAACTTATGTAGTAAACAAATTCCATTTAATTGTATATGCAGTTGTAATATAAATTGTAGGTCTAAGACACAACTATTGTACTTTTTGTGTGATACATATTCATATTAAAGCTGGTAAAGCAGTTTCTACATTTTTTTGGCAGGTGGTCCAAGTGAGCATCTGCTTTTACCAGGTGACCAGATAATAAAAATTAATGGTGAAGATGTACTTAAAGCTCCCAGGGAACATGTAATTGAATTAGTCAGGTAAAAAAAAGTATATTTCCTGTTTTTAATTTGAAAGTAGTAGTCTATGCAATATTTTAATGGGACAGCATGTTAGTGCCAACTAATTTAATAATCTTATTAAACTTCCAGATCCTGTAAACAATCAGTTCACCTGACAGTCTGCCAACCTCAGAGCAACAATGTAAGTTGAGAAATGTAAAATAAACTTTTGTAGTTTTATTGGATAATTTTTGTTGATGTAAATAGTATGATTATGTTTGCTGTAAGTAATTAAAATGAACAAAGTTCTAATGTTTTTGACATACATTTATAGAGTTAAAAGTAATTACCTTTTACTGGGAAAAAAAGTTGAATACCCTCACTTAGTACATTATTTTAAAATTACAACACAATATTCATACTTGCATCTTAAAAATGTAATGTTAAATTTTTTATTCTGAAATCTTTCACTAAGACCAGATAACTTGGAATGATTAATGTTTGAAATTGATCACTCAATCATTTACATATTTTAATAGCTAATTAGGTAAAGAATTTATATTTCTACCTAATGCTACACATGAAAGCAGTTGAGTTTGTCACATTTTTGTAAGTTACATTTGTATGCTGCCTTCTTTCAAATGGATTCTAGATCTCAAATTACATCAGATATACCAGATTTTCTCTTTCTCTCTCTCTTTTTAAGTAGCAAGTTACAGTTAACTATTTCTTATCTAAATTGAACTTATGAGATTTTGAAGTAGATGAGATGGCAATATTAAATCATTAACTGATGAAACAATGCATTCTAAGCTTTATAAATATGAATGAGATGGCAATATTAAATCATTAACTGATGAAACAATGCATTCTAAGCTTTATAAATATGAATGTAAGAAAAGTGTTTAATTAGCCATGCTCATTACCAATATCAGGATGAATTTTTGTTCCACTTTAAGACAGGACTTGCTCTGATCGGAAAACAATATTAATTGCACAGTGGTTAAGTAGAAAAACTTGAAACTCTTTTAAAATCACATTTAGAGAAGAAACAAATGAATTGAAGGTTGTTTATGGCAGATGCAAAATTATTTCTGGTAAATATTTCGTTTTTAATACTGTGTATGAGAATCATGCAATTCCAAGTAATGAGAACTGTTGGGTTGAGAAAAATGTTGATTGTGGTATCAGTTGTACAAAATGTTATTTATATCATTGATTTTGTTTCAGACAACTAGGAAGTCAGCACTACTCACTGCTGCTAAAAAAGCCAAGTTAAAATCCAAACACCCAAGAGTTCACTTTGCTGAAGGAGTGGTTATTAACGAGTCACCTTTGTTTAGTGTAAGGAGATAATTTTTTCTATGTAAAATAATAACAACAGGGTTACAAGTGTTAAGTGAGTAATTATTACAGCTCTTCTAGTACACAAGTACAAAGAATTACTATAAAGGGTTGTAAGTGTTTAGTGCAAGGCTATTTATATAAATGCAGTCACCATAAAGGGTTTCAAGTGTTATTCATCAAGCAGTTATGTTAGTACAGCTGTTTACTCAAGTATAAAGTAGTTGCCATATAGTGTTCACCAAACCAGTTGTACCAGCACAGCTATTTACACTCTTGTAAAATAGTCCATACAAGGTATAATTGTTCAGTAAGTAGCATACCAATATGACTAGTTACAATCGTGTAAACTATTCACCATACAGGGGTATAAGTGTTCAGCAATCAGTTATACCAATATGGTTAGTTACACAAATGTAAAATATTCATCATAGTGTTACAAGTGCTCAGCAAGCAGTTATACCAACATGGCTAGTCACACAAGTGTAAAATAGTCATCATACAGTTTTACAAGTATAAGTGTAAAATAGTCGTCATGCTCAGCAAGCAGTTATACCAACATGGCTGCTTACATGAGTATTAAATATCCACCGTACAGGCTTGTATGTATTCAGGGAGTCACTTTCGCACCAATATAGTTGATGACATAAGAATTCAAACTTGTAATACCAAGTTACAAGTGTTTATTGTAATAATATAATTTTATTCATGTTGAAAGGTGGTATGTTCAATAGATTCAAATGATGGTTTGTTTATTGCTATTTTAGTATAATATAACAGGTATTTTATAGTTATACAATCAAGATTTCTTGAAAATTTAAATTTTTTAATAAACTGTCTACATTTAATTATTTTATTTATGTTTATGTAAATGGTTATTTTTCGTGATCACAATATTACTGATTTAATCTTGAATAATAGAAAGTTTAGAGTAGAAAATGTTGAGGTTATTTGAAATATTATTTTAAGTAATCTTTTTTTTTTATTCATTTTAAAGCACAACACTGTTCTCTCACTGTTATACTGACAGTTCACCCAAATAAACATTTTGATAGTAAGTGGTTTTTTCAGTGATGGTGCTCCCTGCATGAACTATTTCTGTTGTTTTTTTTTCTTTTAGCCAACTCCATTTGAATCTTGTGTGCCATGCATGCCTAATGTATTGAAAGTTTTCCTTGAAAATTATCAAACAAAGTCTTTCAAGTATGACAGTACAACTACAGTTCAGGTGGGTAGAGCCAATCAGTTGAAATACTGTTGCTTATGCAACAACATTACTGAAAATTGCCTTCTGTTTTTTTCTGATTTTCAAATGTAGATAATTATTGGGTTATAGTAACTCTTAAGTTTTTTCATATTTAAAAGCAATGATTACATTTAAAGCAGTATATATATATATTTTTATATATTTAGGTGGTTATCTTTAGAAATTAATCAAAGGCTGATAAATGAGATCATTTTAGGATTAATAATATAAAAAAATATTTTAGGTTTTAAAAACTGAAAGTATCATATGTTGTGATTCTTTGAGAATTAATTGAAAATTGTGCTGACAAATGTATTTCTGTCTTGTGTTATACAGGTGTACTTTGAACATGTTTTGCAATATGAAAATAATACAATTAAATAAGAAAATTACCATGTTACATATCTGTCATTTAATTGAAAACTAACAAATAAATATTGTATGTCCATCTTTAGGATGTTATAAACTCTCTTCATGAGAAGTTATCTATCCAGTGCCCAGACCACTTTGGATTGGTTGTGGAACATATTAAGTCTTTAAAAAAAAATAGACTGACACTTTTGGACCCTAAAGAAACACTATCCAAGGTTTGTTGTGTGTGTTTAGTATATAGTTATTCTGTGTTTTTCAGGCATAGAGTTCAATGACAATTCTATGATGATTAAAGTAGTTCACATTACTTGATTTCAGTTTATATCATGTGTTAGTGTTTTATGGACATTACTGCATTATGCAGAGTATTCAGCTTAAGTAATTGAGATCCCTACAGCTTCATTCTCAAGAATTTGGTTATCTTAGTTGTTAAAGTAACTATAAGACTTATTGCTGTGTAATGCAGAATATTTAAGTTAAATGATTGTTAGAACTTTGTGTATGATATGAATTGTTCACTGACCCTATTGGTTAGCAGTGAACTACTTAAATAATAAAACATTATTCTAACATGCGAGACTTTTACTGTCACAATTGCCATTCCAGAGGTCAAGTGATATCCACAAATAAAACTAACTAACAGGGACATCACAACACTGCACTTGTACTTTAAGAGGTCTGAAAGGAAATGTATTGCAGGATAATAAATTCAGCTCAGAAAATAACAAAAAAAAAAAATAAATAAATAAATAAAAATAATATATATATATATATATGATGGCTCTGTTAACTATATACATTTATCTGTTTAACTGACTTCTCATGGCTGTTGAACCTAGAGGAGATACCCAACCAGAAGAGAGAGAATAGTGTTGATACTACGCATTTGGTCAGATGAGACTCTTAGCACAGTATCCCACAATCCTAATTTACATACTACATTGGAAGTAATCCTTATTTTTCAATTTTGGGTTGAAAACTTCCTGCCTATATTTGACAACCCAAATTATGCATTGCTCCTCCACTTTGGTATGACTTGCACACCAGGGGAGAGGGGACAAGCATGAGCTGTCTTGAATGACAACTGTGGTATAGAACCTTTGTCCGTAGTGGTTTTTTTGAGCAAGGTAGGGTTTTTATATCAGGTTTACAAGAACATCAGTTAAATGCAGAAAATTTGCAAAACAAATTTAAAATTTTTTTTTGAATAAAGAAGTATTCAAATGGGATAAGGATAAAACTTGGTAATTTTCATCTGTCACAATCATAAATAAATAGTGATCTTGGCAAAAACAATTTAAATTTAGTGTGATTTGATTATGAAAGTTGTTTTGTAAAGCATTTCCAAATCATTTAAAAATTATTAATTTGATATGAATGCAGTATAATTGTTTTTAACGAAGTGAGTAGAAAACTTTTGTCTGTAATTTCTTAACTCTTTTAGCACAGGCTCAGTCCCTGGGACTGACCTCGTAACCATTTTGTGCTTATAATTTTCATGCTATAACTTTTAAATTAGTAAGCGAATGTTAACGACATTTGGCATATTATCAGTAAAGATTACAATGCTTTTATATGCAAAATATCAAATTTTTTTATTAAGCAATGTTTTTCTCATCCCTTTTTTTTCCCTTTCTCATATTGCCAATCCAACATGCAAAGTAATTTTCATTTTAAGATTAAAAATACTTTTATGCATCAGAAAATTCTGGAATTTCACATGCAAAATCTTTATAATGTCCAAATAGTTATCAAATGTTTCTTAAGAAAAAACTTTGTATTTTATCTATTATTTTCAGTAATTAATCTCTGTTCGGGTTTGGTAGATTTGACCGATCTTGCAACCATCATGAAAAATTAGTAAATAAATATAAATTATTCCTCTTTCATTCTAGAATAACACAAATTATAACATGAAAACAAAAATGTTTAGACGAAATAGCTTAAATCTCATAACATTATACATTTATATATATTTATTATTTTTTATTATATTGACCTTTCAGCCATGCTAGGCTAACAATACAGAAGTTACAATGATATGGCACTCGTGTTACTGTATCCAATAATATAAAACTAACCATTAGTCTTTGCAAAGTGACATGTCTTGGCTGTGTTTTAGTAGACTAGTATTTTGTAAAATAATCACATTTTGATTATTATACATTATATATGTATATAGATTATTGCTATTTAGAAATCAGTTCTTAAACTTATTTTTCTTAAAACATAGAACAGTAACTAAAGAAGTAAAGCAAACAATTATCTCTTCTAGTTATGACCTTTGAGCTCAGTTGCTACTTGATGGAGGTTGCTAAGCTTTTTATAATTTTGTACGTAGAGGATACGAAAGAAATATTTTTTTTAGGTTTAATGTATACATTTCAATAACTAAAAAATCATAAATTACTACATTAATACCATAAAATTCCACTATAACTTATTAAGCTTAATAACTAAGATGTATTTTAGTCTAAAAAAATATGAAATTTCGAGCAGACTAAAGACACACCCTACCTCGTTGAAATATTAGCAATATTGGAAAGAAATGGCACCAAGTCCATTAAAATGGCTGAGAAAGCCACAAGGGGGAAATTCTGAGCTTCTGATTGGTTATTTATGTCGTATATATAGAAATAAGTGTATATAAGGGAGCGTTTCCAAAAATGGAAAGAGGTGAGAGGGGTGCCACTGTGTTTGATTTAATACATGAGCAATATCTTGGCAAACTGAAAAGATAAGACGTTCTTATTTTATATTCTAGCTCGTCAATATCGGTAATTTGAGTTTCTAATTCGTTTGAAAGTATAGACTTAGTATTTTGTCTTCAGAAACATCTAATTTGAATCAGTGCTGCATTCAACATACCACGTCACACACAAAAATCGATGTTTATCTGTGTTTTTTAATATTTGCTTTTAAATTAAGAAATTGAGTAATATATAATACTAAAAGTTGAATTATAATATACAGTTTGATACCAAACTTATTGACATAAATTCATGAAATAGTAGTTCAATAACATTTTGAATGCCAGTCAACAAATGAGATTACATGGCTTTTCACCTGTGACTGATCTCAAAATGGTTAATACAGTTTTGTCTGATTCTGAATATGATGTCAATAGAAATGATGATAGGGATTGTTTTCAATCTGAAATGTCTGGTGAACCACAACTTTTCACACAAAGTGACTTAATGACTTGAAAGATTTGGGTCTTCCAAAGGATTCTTCAGAGATTTTGGGGTCCAGACTTGGGCTAAGAACTTACTTTCTCCAGGGACATCAATTCACTGGTTCAGAAATTGTGAGAAACAGTTTATACCATTCTTTTCGCAAGAAGGTCCACTGGTTTATTGCAACAATATTGCTGAATTAATACCAAAGCTTGGAGCTGCAGTCTATGAACCAAGT